GAGAGAGAGAGAGAGAGAGAGAGAGAGAGAGAGAGAGAGAGAGAGAGAGAGAGAGAGAGAGAGAGAGAAACTGGTGAACATTGTCCTAAGAAAGAAAAGGTAAAGATAGAGATGTATTATGGATTGCTGAAATGCAGGACATACTGTTCCACCGCTCCCGGACCGGTGGAAGAAGGCGGATTGCTGAAATGCAGGACATACTGTTCCACGGCTCCGGTGGAAGAAGGCGGCCAGGTGGCCTTTACCATCTCATGCCTTGGTGAAGACATCAAGGCCTGGGTATTTTCTGCCGTCAACGATGTAGGGTTTGAGTACATAGGGGAGTGAGCACGTACTCTGATTCTAAAAGACTTTCCAAAGAAGATGAAGAAAGATTCTTAGATAAGACATCGACAATCAAAGCCTTTGAGGAACTCACGACCATTGGGCTGCGCCACTGGACGACCGTTGATGTGCTGTCTTGCGGAGTGGATACACTGCCGCAAGTACCTACATTGAATATACATGATGACCAGTACATCTATTCCCGGCCCCTACCTGAACCGATTAGTGGCCAATCGGTTGTTGAGGCGAAGTTCAATAAAAATACCTACAATCAATTTAGGGATCAGGCCCTGCAGAGGGAACAAATGACCACACAAATGAAGGAGTCATATGCTGGTGTCATGAAGAGAGGGGATTAGGGAGGATTTGGAAAAAAATAGATTTTGTAGGAAGCATCATAACGTTCATCATAATGCTCCACAACACCCTAATTACATCCATTTTGAAGGCCAAAACGTTTCCACATTTCAGATGTGCAGGGCCCGCCCTAACTTCTGTAGTGTGGCCAAGCCAAAACGTCCAAGATCTCAAGGGTGGCTCCAGAGGTCACTAGATGGTGAAGGGTGGCGCACTACGAAACGCGAATTTCATGGGGAATTTCATTTCTTTTTTATTTTTTGCAGTGTCTGGTAGTGTTCCAGGTACAATCTGCACTTGTCCGACCTCGTCGATGGGAGTCTTGTGCCAGGGCCTCGGCAAAGATGGACCGCGTACCGTTCTTTTCATGCCGTCGTGTCCTCGACGTTACCATTGATGCACAGTGGTGGGCTTCCCCTGTTGCCGGGCGAGGGGGCAGATGGCCGTTGGCGCTGCCGAGGGGGGGGAAGATGGCTGTTGGTGTGGCCGGGGGGGGGAGATGGCCGTTGGCGCCCTCCCCAATTTGAAAAACGTGAACTCCCCTCCCATCCTGCATCTGACACCTCCGTCTCGCCTCCTTCCCATCTTGGTCTGGTGCACCCCAACCGTGCCCAACGGACACATGGCAGCAGCCACGCGGCCCTGGCAGGTGGGTGCGTCCCTGCCTGCCATGCACTTAAATTGTCTAGTCCAGAGCTCCTGTATTGTGCTGTACGAATCGTGTGGGGAAGTGCTTGTCTATCACAGCGGACAAGCGCGCATGGCAGATCTGGACGATCGCTCTGCTGATGTTGTTGGTGGTGTTGTTGGTAGTCATTCTCATCCTGCAATTGTGGCAGCTGGTGTGGCACGTCAGAGCGCCTGGAGGAAACAAGGGTCAGAAGAAGATTCGTAGGGGCAGAGGCTGGAGGAGGGCAATGGGGGAAGATCGTATGGGGGTTGAACATTTGTACGGAATGGAAGAGGGGGGGTCCCTGTGGGCGGTGATGAGCAACGACGACACTTCGATCCTACTCTGTACGCGTATTTGCCTACGCAATTGCAGCCCCTTCCAGACGATGAGTCCTGGGAACCTCCTTCGTCCACCCTTCATCTCGCATGGGGCTCCACACAAACGTCGTATGAAAATACGTGAATGCCTCATCATCACAGCGGATAGCTCAGGCCGATGTCGGCACTCCTCGCCGGCTCGCTCAACGGGCATGGGCCCGATCTGCATCTGTCACCAAGCTGCTTCATGGCGGGTTCAAGAACCGTGCTTGTCGACCACAGTGATCGACCACGCGGCCAGATGTCCGTGAACATGGACGACGCTGGCGACGAAGGTGGCACATCACAACATCAACCTTTCTTGTCCGTTGCACCTAGGGCGAACCTGCCTCGCCAACAAACGTGGCCTTGCAACATTCAGTCACCGGTGGGTGCAAGTGCTCTGAGAGGGGGAGGGATGCAGACAGCGGGTGGCGAATCTCTTGTAACAGTTGTGTTCGACATGATTATTGCGCATGTGGCCAGGATGCGCTCGACCAGCAACGGGGAGGGGACAGGGCACGACGTTGGTAGTCGGGATGGTGGGGGGGGACGGCAACAGCATGGAAGACTTCCATGAAGATACCTTGGAAGCCAAGGAGGTCACTGTTCTCAAAGACGTCATACCGCAATAGGAAAGAAGAAACTGCCAGCCAAAAGTTGGGTTAAGTCGGCGAAAAAGGTGGGTGGGGAGGTGGTGACGAGGGGGAGGGGGGGGGGGGGTGGGGATGTGCTTCGGCCGGCTCGGTTGGGACGTGCTTTGGCCGGCTCGGTGGGGAGGTGGTGGGGATGTGCTTCCGCAGGCTCGGGGGGGGGGGGGGGGGGGGGGGGGGGGGGGGGGGGGGGGCAACATGGGTGTACTGGGATGTCAAGGACTCCCTAGTCCTCGTGCGTTGCAAGAGAGACCAAGAAGACTACTTTGCCAATGCCAGGAACAACTTTGCCAACGCGGGCAGCAAGTTTGCGAGAATGAAGATGAAGGACTGGAGGTGGAGGGAAATCGCGAAGCGGATGGACCAACGGGGGGTTAAGAGTGACTGGGCCCCTGCATGAAGAGATGGGAAAGCATTGTAGGGTGTATAAGAAGATCTTGGAGAGAGAGGCAGACTCCGGCTTCCAATCTTTTTTCACTTTCATGGCGAAGCAGCGGAAGGAGAAGGTCTACAACTTCACGATGGACCGATCCTTGTATGACGCCATTGATGCAATGCAGGGCAGCAACCAAGCCATTCACCCGCCGAACTTGGCGGACACCGGAGCGAGGGAGGTGCCGCTGTCTCAAGAAGGCGAACAAAGCCAGGTTCGTGGCAAGACTGCAGTCGGCAAGCCGTCGGCAAGCGAGAACTTGGACGATGTCGACGATGGATACGCCAGCAGGTTGTCAGGCAGTGGGCCGCCTGGGAAGCGCAAGAATGAACGGCAGATGACGTTCGAGGCTGTTACCGACGATGAAGACGTGCATTTTGGCTGGAGGAAGGCATATGCTAATGTACGACAACAATTTGAATGACACAGAATGAAAGAAGATGTGATAACATGTGTAAGAACTTGTCCTGTCTATCAACGGAACAAACTGTCCCATGAGAACCCCTTGGGACAATTAAGACCACTTTCTATCCCCAATGGACCACGTGAGTCAATCTTATAGACTTCATGAGTCTCACAAAGAGTAGGAATGGAAACAAAAAAGTCATCATGTTTTTTGTTGATAGGTTTTCTAAGTAGGTAATGCTCATTCCTTTACCATCCGAATTGAAAACCGAACAGGAGATGCAGAAATTTCAGATGTGTGGATTTCGGGCATGGTAACCCCGAACCCGGACACCGAACACTTCCGGACTGTCTTCCGGACCAGTGTCTGGACCGGTCCGGACTGTCCGGTGATCCGGACATCACCGGACACCGGACAGTCCAGACCGGTCCCCGGGGTGCAAAAATGTCTGGACTCAAAAAAAAAGAGGGTGAAAAAAAAAACGGGTGTTGGCAGGCACTTACCTGCTTTGCTCTCTGTAGTTCAGGCAGCAGAGCATGTGTCTTGCAGCAAATCAACCAGCACATTTAACTAGCAGACATGCAGCAAACAGTGCAAAGCAGGCACAAGACTAAAGAAACAGAGAATTTTTTTTTGAAAAAAGTATGATTAACTTTGAACTTTGAACTCTGGATTTAGTAATTTAAGTTCATAACTTCATATATAACTTAAAAGTTCGAAATTCGCAGTTCGATTCAGAACGTCAGAGTCTACAGACTGGCAGCACTGTCAGTGCTCTCTGTCTCTCTCTCTCTCTCTCTCCCCAACGGGCAGCAGCGGCGGGCGCCACGTCGAAACGGCCGCTTTGAAATTGCTCGGGCCTGTGCGAAACCCGCCACSTCAAAAACCTGCAGTGTCTTGTGTCTGGACCTCTAGGCCATGTCCGGTGGGTTGAAAGGACACTTAAAAATCACCCCGTTATTTTTCGAGGGGCGGCTAGGACCCGACAAATGTCCTGGGCGGCCCCATTTTTTTTTTTAATTTTTGCCCCAGGGGCCTCCATCCGGTCATGGGGACCGGACACCGGACTCTGGAACCCGGTCTGGACGTCTGGGCGGTTACCATGATTTCCGGACATCTTGAGACAAACAGTTAAACTGAGCACATGAACCGATTGTGCCAACAACTTCTGCGTATGTATGTGTGGCCTAACCAGATAGATTGGGATGAGATCTTACTTAAGATAGCAAGTGTGTTTAACAATAGTGTACATACTACATACAGTCCCGGGACGAACTCCTAACGCTCTTCATAAAGGATTGCAACCCAGAAAACCGAATTGAATAGGCTCTCTAACAAGAGACCACGTCTAAAGGTTACCCCCTAGGACCCGTGAATTGGCAGTTTTGGATGAACAAGACATTATGAAAGTCAAAGAGAATATTCGAAAGGCTCGGTCTAAAGTGATTGAACAAGCAAACAAACACTGAAGACCATCAAATTTTAAAGAAGGAAAACTTGTCTGGGTGAAATTGCAATGAGTTGCCGTTGGAAAAAGGAAGCACGTGGAAACTGCTTCCTGTCTACTACGGGCCATAGGAAGTTCTCAACGTGATTGGGGCATAAGTGGAACATCGTCTCTCATTGATGTGCCCCCACATCTCAAGACTTATCCAGTCTTCCATGCATCTAAACTGCTACCCTACGTTGAAGGAAATGACTTTCCTAGTCATCCGCACATGCCTTGTGCCGTGAGAATTATGAAGGGATAGCCCGTGAAAGGTTTGTTTTCATACACATGATGACAGTGAATACTGCACTCTTGTACGGCACCCTGACATGTCATGTCCAATTTATAGACGGGCTGGAAAGGCAATGCGTCTACAATTGCAGTCGCCATACCTCTGTGTTCCTAGCATGTAGGAGCCACGTCGCCTGTGACATCTGTCTACGCCGTGCGGTTCGATGCAGCATCTGCAACTGCAAGAGTAGGATGCGGTGCTTCCACAGTCCACACCCGAACCGGTCCTGTCTGGTCTGTAGGGATGGTCACTTACCATAGGCAATGGCTGCTTCTCAGTTCAAAATCTTGTGCAACCCAAACAATGACTGGCCGTGTGTGCTATTCTGGAGTAGTCTGCTCCCGCGGTGAGTACTTAGAACCCTGGGAGAAGTCCACCTTCTATTCTCTTCCTCCCTCCTCTTTTGTACTCCTAGTAAATGCATGCAAATGAGCATTATTAAGAGAACAGTCAGAATATAAGCTGAAGATCTGAGGAAAAATGAACAGGAATACACCTCTGCCTTTACTCTGCCTCCTTTCATAGTGTGGGGCACACAGGGATGTGGGCAGCTCACGCTCAATCACAATCAACGAGGTGAGCCTTGTACATGCGAGGCACAGTGAAAGGGAAGCTGCAAGAACAAATGAAAGGGGTACCCCCAAAAAATCGAAAGTGAATACAGTTAAGAAAGGGATATAAAGTTATAAATGCTTACATTATGCTCGATGTTGCTTGTTTTAGATGCAAGGAATATGAGCGAGAGCGATAGATAGAAAATCCAGATTTGTGATGACCTTACCAAACACGAACTGAGACACACAGCTGATTTTCTGCTTTTGCTCATGGACTGAATGCCTTGCTGAGTTTCCCGCTTGCTTCTGAGTTATCTAAGTCTGTGTGTGTGTGCACGCATGTCTGTCTGAGTGCTTGTTGGCTTGAGTGTGTGTGTGACCGGCAAGGTCACTTGTTTGTTCATTGGGCCCGGAGGGCCAGTACTTACCTGTGGCCGTGACATTGAGGATTGCAGCGGGGAAAATACTCAAGTGACAGGGGAAGAGGCCCGCAACACTTTAAGCAGTGGGGAAACACTCAAGTAGCAGGTAGGCCGGTACCACACCCTGAAGAGGTAGATGTGCCGGGTACTTGAGGCCGGGCAGAAGAAGACAAAAGTTGGCATTTTTAGAGGCCCACTATTGTAGGGTAGGTCTAGGCGGGTACCAGTCCAGCCAGTTTGAGTCTAGGGCCTGTACGGGCAATATCAGAGTCTGCAATGATGTTTCCGTCCGAAAGGGAGGAGGTACCGGTTGCTTGGAAGGCCAAGTGGCCCGGAAGTCACCGCCCAAGAGACAAGCAGGCCGCTATATCTCCAGGCTGGGCGAAGAGCCCAGCCTCATTGTTGGTGTGCAAGTTTGGCGACACACTGGTTGGAGTGCTGGCTGGAGCAGCGCTAGCTTGGAGCAGCGCTGCTGGGGAAGGGGCAAGGACACGGAGGAGGAAGAAGACCAGGAGGAAGGGGGAACTTACCTGGCTATGGTGGTTGCCATCTTCATCACCTTGGTGGGCGCTGCAGGGCAGAGCTACACCAAGAAGCTTTGAGGCAGAGTCAGGCATGGTGGCCTGAGCTAGAGCAGCCATAGCTGCGTCGTGTTGTCTTTTGGAGAGCCGGGCCATGCCCCGGTAGTCCGCCATAGCCTAGGCCTAGAAGGAAGAAGGAGAGAGGAGGCCATGGCTATGGTGGATCCGTGCAGTAGAAGAAGGATTCAGACATTGATTCTGGTTCGGCCAGTCAACATTGCATTATTATTTCTTGTGTGAATAAGAGAGGAGGAGTTAAGGAGGAGGAGAGTGTCTGGCGAGGAAGAAGAGCATTATCATTTGTCTATGTTGGTGTACATCATCTTCTTCTTATTTCTTTCTTCTTCTTCTTCTTCTTCTTCTTACCCTCTCTCTCCTCTTAAGTTCATTCATTTCTTTTTGCAATTGGACGGCATTGTACTATCTGATGAATGTGTGCTTTGAAATTGGCCAGGATCATAACAGATTGCAAAATCACGAAGTAGCTCAGATAGTCATATACCAAGCAGAGAGCGTAAAGCACCAAGATACCATCCACATAAGAGGAATACAATGAACTTGTATGTCAAGGTCAACGCTCTCTGGCCACATCAAAACAGTACCCAATGTCTTAATTATTGTCTGGCGCCCAGCGCCCAGCCTACACAACTCAGTCTATCTACACCTATCTACATTCATGCAACCAGATCACATTGAAGTTGAAGGCCAATGTGCGTGATGTCATCACCAATGCCGACCGCCAGGATACACCAGGTACGTTCTCTCTCCTCCCCTCATCACACCTTGTCTTCCCTCTGCATGTGCCTCCTACCTGTTACATACTTCAATGAGTATGGGCAGAACCAAAGATCAACCAATATAGGATGAGCATTTATGCAGCGGAAGTCTGATAACGAACTGACTCACATAGACTGACTCACATAGACTGACCTACATGGCATCACTCCACACACATACAATCATGAGATGGTGGGGTCTGGGTCATTCATAGACGATACCCAGATCCCGT